CAAATAATAGTTCCGTCTTGTATGTTCATGTAAAATTTATGTTTGTAAAGGTGTTGCATACATGAATTCCTACATTTCTACATAAATCATTGCTAACTCTAACAGCGATTTGGTGTGGCAATATATGTCGGAAAACTACCCTCAAAATTATTTAAATAAAAGGAGTACTCTGTAACGAATTTGCGTTATAAAACAGAAAACACAGTAAGCGGTTAGAAGTGAATACAGTAAATCTATTGAATGACTAAACTGTCTAAACACTGACTAAGTTGCCATAAGGTATAGTAATACCTACGGATAATAGCTACGTCCGTATGCAAAAGCGAAGTTTTAAAGTGACCACAAAACCAAATGAACTCCGTAATGGGTAGGCAGTGGCGTAATTAAGGTTGTCAACTACTATTGGAAGAAACATAGTTTTTTTTACGAACAATAATGTAAAAATATAAAATACGTAACATGAAAAAATAGAATTATATTAAAATATATTTTTTTTATAGAAGAGGGGGCAAACGAGCTTGCGGCTCACCTGATGGTAAGTGACTACCGCCGCCCATGAACAACCGCAACACCAGGGGAATTGCAGATGCGTTGCCGGCCGAAAATATTGAAATGATTATAAAAATACGTATATATGACTGGTTTTGTAAAAAGTAAACGAGCAATGTTGATTTCTATTCATAAAAATACATTATAAATTTTGTGATTCAATGATATTTTTTTTATTCTGTGCCTCAAATGTACAAATGTCCAAAACGCTATCCGCCAATTAAATTCAGTCGTGACGTCACTTCGTTAGTAAGCAAGCTAATGTGCTATGTTATTTCGAAATTTTTCAAGTTATTATCACGATTGTTCACTTTTATTCCATATTTTATTGGAATGGCAACATGGAAGACGAATTCGTAAAAGCAAAAAGTACTAATCTACCAATCATAAATACACTGATAGTGGAAATTTTTTTTGCGGGCAATCCCGATTTTTGTTCCGCCGAATTGAGGAATGTTAAAACATCAATGTAAAAATACCTATTACCAACTTTTACTTATAAAAAAACACAATACCAGGTCAGTGTCTTTTTATAATACATCGTTACATTATGAAATTAAGTGTCTATCTACTGAACTGGACACTTCCTTGCTTCGATAACAAAACGATATTTTGCACAAGTTTATAGCAAATGTATTGTGCTAAAAGAAGCAAAAACTACTTTTGTGTTGCTAGTCGTGATTTAGAAAAAAATGAGGTCACTATAATAAACATTGAATATGACCATGAATATGTTGTGAAATTATTGGATAGTGTCTTTTCAGAAGAATAACATTTTTCCAATCTTACACAAAAATGTTAAAGAGTAGATATCTAACATAATATTAAAAGCGGCGCAATACACAACATATTCTAATATGAGTGCGTGTCTTTCCATCACTATGAAATAAATTAATTTTAATTTTATACAAATTGTTTTATAAAAATATTTATTTTGTAACAATGTATTAGTTATTCTGTTTCCTATGTAATATAATAAAACATTTCAAATGTTCTCTATACAACGTGTATCAAATCTTGATCAAACGAATTGTGGACCAATTTAACAACGAAAGAGACAGCCCCTACCAACGACCTTCTCTCTAAGGAGTTGTTTATAATCGATGGTGAGATCAGATTTGTAAGCGAACAGTCTGCACGAGAATTTCATGCTGATGCATGTACATTTAGTAGAGGAACTATACATGGTTGTAGCCGATGTGGACAAGCATTACGTCAAGTCTGTACCTGCCACATATAAGCTGGTCTTGATTGCGCAAAAGCGTGGAGTCGCCAACTTAGTACAGGATAGACTCGTGCTATAAGGTTGCAAGAGTGCAAACGTTATAAATTGTCACTGATCCTCAACACCACCAATGAGAATGTGGCATAACAGTATCTGGAGCCCAAATCACGACTTCACGTCACGACCAATTCATATCCGCGGAGGGTCAGACAACTTCCCGGACCAATTTACCGATGCGAGTGGCTATGAAACTTTTGTGCTACCGCGCTTTCAGACGGGAATATGAGGATGAGGACGGCATCTTCAACGCATGGGTCTGCTTCTATTATCAGAGGTATCAAGATGTGCCCCTTGACTGGGCGGCGAACAGGAACACCCTCGTAGCCCAAGGAAATAATGGGTTGATGCATTATGCCCCCTTCAAGACGCAGGGGGCTCCTAGAACCGACACACTACAGGAATACCTGACGAAGTTTAAGGTCGCTTACGCCTAGATGGTTGCCAAGACACCTCTGTTTATTTTTGTATAACCAATAGTTAAATTTAAGCCATACTTACATCAAAGTGATCTTCACGCAAGTATAGTCTAGTTTTTGTAGACAACGTCTTCGGGTCTTTCCTTGCCAGTTTTAACCAAGTATTTCTCATATTTCAATCAGTTGGCACTTTAAACCATACCTTCCTCGGCATTCTTATGCTCGTAGTTTTGCTTTCAGACACAACACACCACTGATAAAAATGATAACTCATTATTAAACATCCAAAAATGTCTTATTTCTTTTCAAAATTGTTTTATTTACTAGCGCAGTGACGTCACGAGCTGAACCGCATGAGCCCAATGTTTTCACGCGAAAATTTAAAACGATCTATAGTTAGATATCCAAATATAAACATAAATCCTTTTTTATATAAATTTTTTTAAACTGAATAGTGTCATAAAAATTACTTTTAATCTAATGGATATCTAACTGCATGTGCAAGAAAATATACCTAGTTCATTTATTACATATTTTTTAAGGATCAAATTATAGTACTTTTTGCATACTTTATATTTTCGAAACAGCTTATAGCAAAAATATAGTACAATACTATATTATATAGCACGGTTGGCAACTCTAGGCGTGCACTTGCAAACTCTCACCTCTGCACGTACTGTTTACAACAAGTTGCAGTTTAATATGTATTCACTTTAACACGTTACGCGAAAGGCGCCAATATTTAAAAAGCCTACCTACAGAAAGGGCACTGTGTTACTGACGCTAACTTGGCAGAGTTCTACCGAGAAGCACAAACTATATAGCAGAAGAAAATCGATGTACATAATTATGCTAACGATGATTGGTTGTACTTTTGAGAAAACTTTCATTGGTTTTTTTTTCATTAATTGTGGCACTGGCTACAAGCCCTTTAGCATAAAATAATACTTATATCAAACTCTGTAATAAATTATCCAATATATCAATATGTTTTTAAATTTCTTATATTATATTTTTCTAATTGCGAAGTTTTTGGGAGATTTTGGCGGTAACTTAAGCCAGCGGAACTAGCGATAACGTCATCTCGAGGTGCTTTTTGTAGCACTAGTTTCATTAATAGTTTCCATTTGCAGACATTTAATACACAAAATCGCACCAATTTTATGTATTAAAATCAACTATAAACCGTTATTTAAATGATCATACAATAGCAGATCGGCCATCAAGCTCCCGCCAAAACTACCTTAATTAGAAATTGATATAGCAACAGAACTCAAAGACCTGTTGTAAATTAAAATTTTTATTATAATAAAAATATTAATCATAAATTATTGGTAGGGCTTTTGTAAGAATTGACTTGAAATCTTGGTATGGTATCACTAGCATTGACGTCAACATTTATACTTCTACTGCTGGCTTTATACATGCTTAATGTTAACAAAAATGTACCATGTACTTAGTAGAAATACTTGCTCTAAAAGGGGGTGGCTTGCATAGTGAGCATAATGACACAGCGCTCCTCTTAATTCCGAGATCGTTATGGAGAAGTTAGGCCCACATGTTGTTTCAATGATAATGAAGTACTTGTAAAGTCCTTAGATATTTTTTTTAATCCTCAGACATCAGATATTGTGTAACTGAATACCAGCGTACATTTAGTATGTACAGTTTATTCTGTATATTTTTAATCTGTGGTACAAAACTGCGCTTGAGGAGACGATCTCCTTGTTCTACCACGCTGTTAAAACATTTAATAAATCTTCTTTTAGTTTAGGATTAAGGTAAATAGTTATTTAGCCTAAGTGATCGTGTATCTATTTGGTAAATATTTTGTCTTCCGATCCTGCAACGCTAAATCCCTACGACAATTCACGCAACAGCAAATTTTTAAGTCTTGTTCTTGACGGCCAAAGCGTTATGTGGTAGTTGACACCATCAAAAAAACACAAAATTACATATTATCCATTGGCTATCTACAGTTCGCAGTGTTTTTAAAATGGGTCGTTTTTTTTTTGTTTAACGTAAAATTAGATTATCTTTATTAAAAATTACTCAAGTAGCATGTCGATTTCACTACAAGTAACTATGACATAATTTCTCTGGTATTCTCAGAAAATTTCTAGTTTCCTTTAAAATCAATTTTAATTTTAAAAATATTTTTTTTACTAGACGTATCAATTACTTTAATACACGGTTTACATATTATAATAACTATAACTTTAAACAAAAAGTAAAAACTGACTTCAAAATTCTAAAAAGTAGTTATTTATTTGCTACCTTTAGTGATGGAATTTTTTTCTCCAAATTTATATGGGACAACCTTGAAGTATAATAATAATATAATAATATAATTAATAAAAAAAAGAATCATCAAAATTGGTTCAAAATCTGCGAAGATATCGCGCAACATACATACAAAACAAAATACACCCGAATTGAGAACCTCCTCCTTTTTGAAGTCGGTTATTTAAACTAATAGCACTATTTAGATTAACAAACTAAACATTCAGACATCAGTCTTTCTGCATTAAATTTATTATTGCTCAATTTTCTAACTAAATGTTACTTCTCTTTACGATACTGAACATTGTCGAGAAAAACACATAAGAACAGCAAACTTATTATATTAAACAGATAACAAATAACCTTTATAAAATATTAAAATAGTTTTATAATCTGTTATTCAATTATATTCCTTAATAGTCACTCTAGACATTCAGCAGCGAGTTTTGAAAATTCGGCTATAATTCTTATGACGTTTTCTTCTTACCGGACATCCTCTCTATAAGGTTTGTGATCATGTCGGCGTCTACAAGGCCGATAAATTTGTCTACAATTAGGCCGTTTTTTATAGCTATTACTGCAGGCACTGCTTTCACCTGAAAGCATATTTTAATATTGTCATAAAAACTTGATTTAATATATAGCCCTTGATGTATCTTTATAACCAATTACAAAATTATATTTTTAATATTAAGAAGTAAAAGCCGACTTCAAAAAATTAAATAGAATATAATAATTTCCATATAACAGCCTCAGAATTAGCTCACAATAGCTTCCGAAGTAGCTATTATGTGGATAGTATTTCTTTCTATAAAGTCCTTTGAAGTTGGCTTTTACTTTTATTTTTATTTATTTAATCTTTTATGCACAAAATTGTACATATGGCGGACTTAATGCCATCTCTCCCAGTCAACCATAAAACTTTTGGCTTAGCTTTCCATTGACGTCCGTCGAGTTTGGTGTGGATACATATTTTTACAGAAATATTACATTTTTATAAGCACACACACAGTTTCAATATGCGGAAACACTTACTTTTGACAAAAAAAAAAATTGAAAATTAATTATTCTTGCAATGCTTATGTTAAATTCCTACCGTAAAACTGGCGCCATTTTGTAATGTCATTGTCGTCGTCAGTAGGGATGTCGATTCTTTCCGAAAAAGATCGATTTTTAAATCGATTCAAATCGTAAGCTGACGTATCGATTCACAAAAAAGCGATTTCTGAAATATCTATATTTTTTTATGTTTTTTTTTTATAGGATAAGGGTGACAAACGAGCACACAGTCCACCTGATGGTAAGTGGTTGCTGCGGCCCATAGACATCTACTTCTATCCTCTGTTACAAATCAAAATGTTTTCCAGTAAAAAGGGCCTCCGGCCACCTGCACTCACCAAGCGAAACGCAGAGGTAAACCTCTACTTCACGCTGGTTTTCTGTGAGGTCGTGGTACTACCCCGGTTCGAGCCGGCCCATCCGTGCGACAGCAAAAGCTGCCGCGTGGCTCTACCACTGTTAAAAGTTTATAATTATCTTGTTTTTCATAAAATGGATTTATATTTACATTATAAATGCAAACATGAAAAAAATATAGATTACAATTCGAATCTGTTTAAAAAATCTATCTTTTGATATATATACTGATAATAACAATAAAAAATGGCGTCAGTTTTGCAGTAGGAATTGACATAAATATTGCAAAAATAGTTGATTTTGAATATTTTTTTTTCTCAAAAAGTACGTGTCCTCGAATGTTGAAACTTTGCGTGTGTGCTTATAATAATGTAACTTTTCTGTAATAAAAATATCAACCGCCAACTTGACGGACGTCAATGGAAAGTCGTACCAAACTTTTTACCCTTTTCAAATTTTTACCCTTTTGAGTACAAAGCTTAGTATCGTATAAGTAATTATATTAAAAACTTCTTTCCCCTATTTCTGCACCCATAGAGGTGGATTTTTTCCTTATGGGGTTACCCCTGAAGTATATCCAATTAAATAAAAAAATAATTATTTAAATTGAGTAACATAAATACAAAAAAACAAACTTGATTTGCTCATCTTTCGGTTTAGGCATATTATATTTAATATGTTTTTGATGGTTTTACCATCAATCAGATACCATGATATTTTCTGGAATTTACTATGTATAGCTATCTATTCCGGGAACCACGAGACAACATAGAGTTAATAACTATGTTGTATGTACTGTATGACGTAGTATCATGCATGATTAAAAAGAAAGGGTCTAATAATATAAGCTATCCAGAAACAATCATAATTAAACTAAAAACATAATTTATATATTGTAATAATATTTGCTTCCGCTAATATCCAAATGCAAAACTCGCGGTTCAACCGACAGGTACGTTGACACCTGAGCGTCATTGTATATTATAGCTGGCTAACTGAGGAGACATTATTAATGAATCATGTAATTGATAAAGAAAGAGCAATTATGAGAATAGCATCTCAGCAGGGTTTTTTTACGGTAACATTTTACCCCAAGCGCTTATCCCTTGACCTACAACGGTTGATATAACAAGAATATAAGCATACAATTTCTCACAGAAACCTATCTCTTCAATAACAAACTGGATCGACCGTAATTGTATAAAATAGTGAATCCATTACCATTTTATCCATTACAGCCTATAAAAGTCCACTGCTAAACATGGGCCTACCCCGTTGATTGCGCATAAGGGGATTGCTAAAGTAACCACGCTTGGCAGGCGGGTTGGCAACCGCAGTTTATTTTGCGATGTTATCAGGAAGATAGTGCTGCCCATCTTCTGTTTCAGTTTCTCTCTGCCGTCTCTTACGAAACCCAGGGTATGGGCTAGCGAATATTCTTACAACACTGAAATTGATAAATGAAGATGTATCACCTCAAATGTGTGCACCAAATCAGCATTATCCTCAACGTCGACGACTGCCAGGTCTAGGTTATCTAGAGGTTCAATCAACTCTTTTAACTTAGGCGTGAGTATTTTACAAGGTTCACACCACTCCGCGTGAAAATTAACTATTACTGGCTTGTCGTTATTCATTACCTGTTTTAAAGAAAGACAATTAATTACAGATTTTAAATTGATGATGTTAGTGGTGAACTATTTGTTAACAAAGGGACTGATCTCAAAGTCCTGTAATCAAATGAGACAATCTCGAATCGTAACTTAAACTCCACAAGTTGTAGAGTTGTCCTCTCCTGAGGAAAGGCTGCAATGGGGCGAACGGCGCTAGTGGGACCGTAGATGTGTGCGTGCGCGTTCCCGGGGGCATGCCAATATGCGGCGGAGGTGGAACCATGGGATTTAAGTCGATGCGAGTCCGACATAACCCATCCTTGTCCCCGAAAGATCATACCCAAATCTTGACATTGGGAAGTTTGAGTTTAAAGTCAAGATTGTCTCTGAACACTAGTATTAAACTAGATGTCCTTTTTTACTAAAATTTAACTGTAATAAAATAATTGTAATTTTTACATGGTAGAGCCATGACGCAGCTATATGAGTAGTATAGTTGTAGCTAGAACGGGTCGGCTCGACTGGGAAAGGACCACACTCTCACAGACTATCAACTTAAAATAATAGCTCAACACTAGTAAAGTGTTAAGTATTCACGGGTGACAATGCATATGCATTTAAATTCGTAATCGAAGATAGATGTAGATGTCGATGGGCCACAGTAACCACTTACCATCAGGTGGACTGTGTGCTCATTTGTCACTTTATCCTATGAAAAAACTTCAGAAGCAATTAAATTATATTTCTTTTTAGTTCTTTAAAATCGGCTTTTAATTTTTATTAAGTTTAATTTTCATTTTATTTAACACTCCTCCGATTGAATATTTATTTAAACTTTAATACACAAAACATAAAATCGTACATATGGTGGGCTTAATGCATAAAGGCATTCTCTCCCAGTCAACCATTAGGCTAAGCAGAGATAAACATATAAGAGGTAGTGCAGCTAAAAAAACTAATAAAGAGAAAAAAAGGAATATTGAGTATTTTTTTTTGTCATCATTAGTTTCGGGAGCGCTACTGCCGATCGCCCGCAGCCTACGCACACTAACACAGTGTGTATGTGCATGGATAACAACAACCAAAGTCAAAACTTCATCGTGAAATAGAATAACTATGCAACCATTAGAGATATTTTACTCAGTTGACTAGCTCAACATCGAAGTGTCAAAATGGGATGAAGAACAATATCTTAGTACTCACCTTATTAATAAATTCCTCATTATTTTTAACTAATATTGTCTCATTATGGACTATTGATGTTGAAATTGTCTTTGCCCTTCTCAGGCTGACGAGACGTCTGATGGGCGAGCGCAATCCCTGGCATATTGCATTACTCATTTTATCTGAAAAAAAGAAGAAAATCTTTATCATAATTGAGATGAAATTTACCATTCTTCTCATCAACTGATAAAAGCTTCTCCCGTTGCAAAGACAATTGCCACACTTGACAAATTGACAATTGCAGTACCAGAATGTCCAAAACCTTTAGTGCCTTTTCATACGTCATGGTTGCCAGGTAGCCGGTGCCGACTGTCCGGTAACACATTCAGCTTTCATACAAGACGATTTTGTATCCAGTAGTGTCCTCTCTCCGTGGTTGTACCTGAGTGCGTGGCCACCGGTGCGTATGAAAGCACGTGCGTCTTCCATACACCACCGTGCTTTATGCCTCTGGCTATCCGGTAAGCGGTGACCGGACGCAGTGGTGGATCCGGCGTGTATCCGGCGATCGCTTGTCGAACAAATTACGACGGTACGTGCGGAAGCTAACATGGCCATCTATATACTTTGCCGCCGGGTAGCCAGTGCTGGGTAAATACAACCGGGGCATGTGAAAAGGCACTTAATGTTGCTGCATCTAGATCTCTATAAGAGATGGGTTACCACCATCTATAATTTTTTCTGGGACTCCCAACAGCCACAAGGACAACAGGACACCTCTTGCAATACCTATGAGGCGAAATGATAGTTGAATGGTATTTTTGGTACGATTTAATTATGTTTACGCTAGCATTGTTACTATTCTTAACATTTTACATTTATAGTTAGTTAGTATTAAATTAAGTTAATATTACCAACTTTTGAAAGTTTCTAAATATTATTAAAGACAGAAAAGAAAATTTTATAACATGTATAAATAATGTCATCAATACAAAATTTCAGTAAAGTAAGTCTCAGCGGAGACTAGCCATCTATGCAGGACAGGATTATAGTACATGAGGGTGTACACAAGCACAAGTGCACAAGCACAAGTGCACAAGCACAAGTGCACTTTCTATTTCCTCACTCTCATGGTCCATTGGGACGGTAATCCGACACAACTGTAGAGAGATCAGGCAGAGGACTAGTGGCTTTACGTGCTTTGCGAGGCACGGGGGTGAAACACCGCCAACTTTCTGACTCTGGGCTGCTACTGAGAATTTCTTGACAGTAAACCCAATAACTGATTTTGACCCGACCCGGGATTTGAACACAGGACTTCATGATCGGTAATCACAATTACGACCACTAATAAAAGCAGTCAATCGTGGTATGCATATTGAAATTATAAATTAAAAAGAAAAATTCAAATACACATTTCTACACATTTTGTGTTGTTTCGTCTCAAGAAGCGAGGCTCATAAAGATATTTATGATCTTTTAAGCACTTGATAACATAAGTCAATGAAATCATTTGGAATAATTTAATATCAGGCTGGTTGAACTGTTATCAATAAACAAATATAATACTTAAATAATATCATTACTGAGACATCACATGACTGAGATGTTCATTATTAGATTGTACCTTAATAATATCCTGTACAAAAAATCTAACAGTACTATATACAGTACTTACAATACTCTATACCAGGGGTCGGGAACCTTTTGAGTCGGAAGAGTCAAAAATTAAAATTTACAAAATTTTAAAGTTTTTAAAGAGCCACAACTTTTTTTTTGCCAACCATAAATAGTACTTGGATGAATAAATTTTTTTGATAAAAAAACTAATCTATTTATTCATAAGAAAAATATATATTTATTCATATATAAATAGTGTTTTTCACAATAAATTAGAATCTTATTTCTATTATTATCTATTATATATTTATTAGATGATATATAACAATTGAGCAAACAAATTCAATGGGAGCCTTGGCTTTGCATGGTTATTCGAGTAGAAAATTTAAACTTAACTAAACAATGTAACTTTTACTTAAAAATAAAAAGAGTAATAACATACATTTAAGCAAACAAATTCAATGGGAGCATTGGCTTTGCATTGTTTTAGAAAGTTTGGATAAATTTGGCTCATAACTTGTTGTTTTAAGTTTCAAACACGACTTTGAATTTTCATTTGTTTGTTGGCTTCTTAATTTACTTTTAATTATATTCATGCAAGAGAACGCTTGCTCACACGAATATGTTGATCCGAAGACAGTCAGCACTCCAAATGCCAACTTCTTCACCTCACTGTAGCAATCTGGAAGACTATTCCATGCATCAAATAAAAGTGCCTCAACTCGCAGCATTTCTTTTAAAGCTGTTCATTTTTGTGGTGTTACGTATAATATACATTTCTGGACCTCCAACTCTTTCAACTTGCTTTTCAACTCAGTAAATTTACAACTCCACAAAGCTTTTACTTTTTAAATCGACCAATTGCATATCTAGAGATCCAGTATCAACTCCAAATGGCTCAGTGTGGATCGATTTTGAAATGTTTTTTTTTTTATAAAATTAATAATATTTCCATATGAAACTAAAAAGCCGCAGCTTCACATTCAAAGAGCCGCATGTGGCTCGCTAGCCGTAGGTTGCCGACCCCTGCTCTATACATACAGTATTTATACATAACTTCTTTTCTTTATCAGTCTGTAAAAGTCAAAAGAAGTAGGTTTTATTTTAATCACTATGCTTAGGTGTCAGATGGCGATCCAGTAAAACAGTTCAGACATTTTACACCTTAACACTGTATTTCATCTCTGGTCTTGACAATTTACATATGACTGAAACCAGATAGTTATTACCACCATTTATCCGAAGATCTTTCTGGGGTTTTTCATTTTTGCCTCTTATAATCGGTTTTATACAAGATACATTTTAGAAAGTGTGCACAGGAATTGCATAATTCCTCCCTGTCTCTTTCATCATCAGACAACCAGACATTACGCCAGTCTCCACCCCTTCATTGTCGACTTACCAAACAGTTTGCTTAATTGTTTGTAACGAGTACAGCAATGGAGTGGTATAATATAATTAATAGAATCAGGCGTTACTTTGAGGATATCCATTATAAAATAGCTTTTAGAAAAGAAATTCTAAAAGCTTTTATAGAGTGGTATAAGTTGTTAGCAACTGTCTTTCCATCCGATTACAATGACAAGACAGAGTGAATGGGCTTTTATTAAGTTCTCAGTTCAGTTTATAATCTGTGGCTACTTCACCAGTTACCATCAGGTGGGGTAGCAGTCAAGCTCTTGCTTAGAACAGTTACCCATCATCATCATCATCATTACAGCCCTTCACAAGTCCACTGCTGAACATAGGCCTCCCCCAAAGAATGCCACAAAGCACGGTCCTGAGCCACCTGCATCCATCGACTTCCTGCATGTCTTACCAGGTCGTCACTCCATCTCGTGGGGGGACGCCCTACACTTCGCCTACCGGTACGAGGCTGCCACTCGAGAACCTTTCTTCCCATCGGTTGTCGGTTCTTCGAGCTATATGGCCGGCCCACTGCCACTTCAGCTTACTAATCCGTTGGGCTACGTCGGTTACTCTGGTTCTACTGCGGATATCCTCATTCCTAAGTTTATCACGCAGAGAAACTCCGAGCATAGCCCTCTCCATAGCTCGCTGAGCGACCTTGAGCTTCCTCATACGGCCAGCAGTGAAGGACCACGTCTCAGTTCCATAAGTCATCACTGGGAACACGCACTGGTTGTACAATTTCGTTTTCAGGTTTTGAGGTATGTCTGACGAGAAGATGTGTCGTAGCTTCCCGAACGCTGCCCAGCCGAGTTGAATCCGTCGATTGACCTCTCGGTCGAAGTTGGACTTACCTAGTCGGACTATTTGTCCCAGGTAAACATACTCGTCAACAACTTCGAGCTTAGTGCTCCCAACAACTACCGGCATAGGTGTGACATGGACATTGAACATGATCTTTGTTTTGTCCATGTTCATCTTAAGACCTATCCGTTGGGAAACACTATCGAGGTCATTGAGCATAGTGCTTAGGTCCTCCAGCGATTCTGCCATAAGGACTATATCGTCGGCAAATCGAAGGTGAGTGATGTACTCGCCATTGATGTTGATACCGTATCCTTTCCAGTCCAGAAGCTTGAAAACGCCTTCCAATGCAGCGGTGAAGAGTTTCGGGGATATGACGTCACCCTGTCTTACACCTCTCTGCAATTGGATAGGTTTCGTACTCTGGTTCTGTACTCGGATAGCCATCGTAGCCCTACTGTACAAGCACTTCAACACTTCGATATACCGACAGTCAACTTGGCACCGCTGAAGGGACTGCAGCACCGCCCAAATTTCGACGGAATCAAAGGCTTTCTCATAGTCCACATACGCCAGACATAGTGGCAAATTGTACTCTTCGGACTTCTGTACAATTTGCCGAAGGGTATGTATGTGGTCTATGGTGCTAAAGCCCTTTCGGAAACCGGCTTGTTCGGGAGGCTGGAAGTCGTCAAGTCTGCGCGCGAGACGATTCGTAATGACTCTCGAAAACAGCACGTAGACACGGCTCAGAAGGGAAATCGGTCTGTAGTTCTTCAAGAGAGCGTTGTCACCTTTCTTGAAGAACAAGACCACCGCACTTCTGCTCCACGCCTCCGGTGTAATGCCACCATGGAGGACGGAATTAAAGAGCTTCTGAAGGACTTCAAGTACCGGTCTTCCACCCGCTTTCAGAAGCTCCGCTGTAATTCCATCCTCGCCTGGGGCCTTACCGTTTTTAAGGTGCTGGAGAGCCATTCTAATCTCGCTCAGACTGACGTCCGGGATATCATCGGAATAGTATCGGATGAGACTCGCTCTTGGATCGTTACTCACACTTGCGTGTGGCTCCAACGATGACGTGTACAGCTGCCCATAGAACCTCTCAATCTCACTTAAAATCTCAGGTGTCCCGGAAACGATGCTGCCACATTCTGTCTTCAGCTTTGACAGGTGGCTCTTTCTGGCAGACAGATCTCTGGCAAAGACTTTGGAGCCTTGGTTCCGCTCGATCGCTTCTTCAATACGAGCTGTGTTGAAGTTGCGTAAGTCCCGCCGCATGCATTTGGAGATCTGTCTGTTCAGATGCCTGTATGCTGTCAAGTCTGTTGAAGAATGTAGCT